AATAATAATAATAATAATAATAATAATAATAATAATAATAATAATAATAATAATAATAATAATAATAATAATAAAGTTGGAAGGGACCTTGGAGGTCATCTAGTCCAACCCCCTGCTCAGGCAGGAAACCCTATACCATTTCAGACAAATGGCTGTCAGTCTCTTCTTAAAAACTTCCAGTGTTGGAGCCTTCACCGCTTCTGGAGGCAGGTTGTTCCACTGGTTAATTGTTTTGACTGTCAGGAAATTTCTCCTCAGTTCTAGGTTGCTTCTCTCCTTGATCAGTTTCCATCCATTGCTTCTTGTTCTGACTTCAGGCGCTTTCGAGAATAGCTTGACTGCCTCTTCTTTGTGGCAACCCCTGAGATATGGGAACATGGCAATCATATCCCCCCTCGTCCTTCTCTTCATTAAACTAGACATACCCAATTCCAGAAACCGTTCCTTGTATGTTTTAGCCTCCCATCCCCTAATCATCTTTGTTGCTCTGACAGCATCCTTTTCTCTGCAAGAGTTCCTCCCACTATTTTCTGAAGGGAATTTCTCCAGTGCACACTGTTAATAGTACATGCTGCCGTGAGCCTTGATTATTTGCTTTAGGTCCTAAATTTGGATTTCAGAAAGCCCACCAAGTTTACTATAAGATGGGAACAGAGAGCACCTTAGATGGACTTTTAAGGTTAAGATTAAGGGACCAGACTAGACATGAGGAGACTGTGAGTTCTAATCCTACCTTAGCCATGAAAGCCAGAAAAGTAGGATTAGAACTCACAGTCTGGTAACGTTTAGCCTGGTGCCTTAATCTGAATCTCAAAAGTCCATCTAAGATGTTCTGTGTTCCCATTATACTAAATAGGCCGATGTTAGACTAGTCACTCTCTCTCAGCCCAACTCACCTCACACGGTTATTGTTGTTGTGGGGAAAATAGGAGGAGGAAGAAGTGTGGGTTTATTTGTAAAAATAACCGTATAATAAATACATATAATAAATAAAATTCTCTTATTCTACTTTACTACAGAGAAGAGCATCCTGGAATCTCTGCTTTGCCTATTTCTTGAACTGGCCTACCATGAAGGGCTGCCATTTAAGTTGAATCTCTTTGAAAATCCACATCTTAAAGGCACTATTTGAAGACGTAGCTCCAGTGTTGTTGGCTTCAGAATAGCGGTTGTGTCTTTATTTCTCTCAGGAACCAATCAAGACTTTTCCTTAAAGCCTGCGGAAATGATGATAAACTGTGCCAGAGAACCTTCTGGAAGGATCCATTGCCCTTCAGAGACTGACTAGGGGGAACTTGGAAGACGAATAAGGAGACAACTAAACTCCACATAGCTTTTGCTGTAAAAATAATAAACTGCTAGGTGTAATTTGTTATATCTTGATTTGAGACAGGCTTTTAATTAACATCCCCCCTAAAAGAACCTCTTAATAAGTACTGTCTGAATTATTTGGATAAAAATCCTGTTATTTTCACAATATAAACACTTGATGCAATATGCAAAAAAACAAATAAAGGAAACAGAAATCCTGCCAATTTTTTCTATAACTTAATGACTCACATATCTTTTCCATAGGGCTGAGCTCCTTAAATCTAATGAATGGGCAGATTTGGTATTCTGAGTATTGCAATCAAAATTATTTTAATATAACCTGATATGGAGAAACCAGTTTAGAGAGGATGCTTAAATTAGGATATGATCCATTTAATTAGAGATGTTTTCTCATGTGCTGTAAAAACAGTTTCAATCTCAGATTCTAGCAGTTACTGGAATCCTTTTCCTGCTTTGGAAAAAGAAGTCCACCTGTTGCCCAACCAGAGAAATTCATAGTATTAAGAGTTGGGCTTTCTAAAGTTTTCCCTTTAGCAACTATCTACTGAAACTACCTCCATCAGCTGCCCCCGCCCCAAAATCCTAATGTGATGTGGGGAAGACCCATCTCTACTCTTTGTGCTTTCAATCTGGACTCCATTGATAAAACTGTCAAATATAA